TATATATATATATATATATATATATATATATATGAATTGTTGAGGCAGCTACCATCAATAAAAAAGCTTTGCCTCCACATAGACATGAACAGGTGTCCGTTTCTTAGAGACTATGGATTAAAGGCTAGGGATTAAAAATAAAAGAAGAAGAAAAGAAAAAAATAAACAGATAAACAGAACACAAAGAGCAGACAAACAGTGCAGACTGTTGCTGCCGCTTAAATGCCATAGGAACGGTACAGAGGTGGGATCCTCTGGGGTATAGAATGAAGTACATAAACTGTAGGAACAAATCCTTTATTATTATTATTATTCTTTAATACGTTAATTGAAGCATATTGATGCATTTGCCTCTATGCACACAAGGCGCTAAGATGATGGGGTTAGCTGCTAATAGTGATAGAGGTAGATGTCTTTGTTATGTGATTATAACGCAGTAAACAGAGGCTGAATGTTTTTTCTTGCAAATGTCCAATTTAATTTACTCATGCTTACCACGTTTATTTCATTAGATATTTGTTTATGGTGTATTAACGAAACAGCCGGACAAAAAGCACACAATCTCCTGCACTTAAGCGGATTCACTGGGGAACAGAAAACAAAACGACAGCATCAATACTATTACGTTTTATTTGCTAGAACCGCAGTAGTATTATGCTGTACTGTCTGCCAAACTTTACGCAAGGGGAGTAGCGCAAAGGGAGTCAAGCGCCGAGGTCTGTGCAGGGTCACCTACACGGTAAGTGCCGCACAAATTTTCCCGTCTGTCTGCACAAATCAAGTCTAAATGCACTGCAGCAGAACAAATTCAGTACATGAAGAAGAACAGTAGGGGCAGGGAAACCGGCAATTGTAGCACTGGCGGCCGATGGTCACGACTCATTCAACCTCTTGTGCCATGGGTTTCCGCGGGGGAGCCATAGCTGCATGCATCTTCTCAAGAATGACAAACACACTTTTTGCTTTTTCTGAGGCTAATGTCATTTTTTCCCTTCGTCTTTTTAAACCGAAAACGCCTCAAAGTACGCTGACGGGCAGCACGGTCAACTCCCGTCGCCGTCCCCCCTCCCCCCTTTCCCTTAGCAAACGGAGCTCCGAGCATCAAACAGATATAATCAGTTTTGTAAATACGTAAAGCCAAGCTTGTTAATTTGACTTGTGTCGCCTTTCACCAAAGAAAACGCGAAAAGGTTGGGCGCAGTGCTCCCTGGTGAACTCCTGCTGTTCGACGGCAAAAGGCATTGTCCATAGAACCAACAAAAAGGGAGCGAAACGATCACTAAAAGCACTAAGCCTTAAGCTGTATACTGTAAACACCAGCCACCATTGCCTTCCTGGAAAAAGTGACTAGGCATGGCTAGCACAGGCGGCCTGCAGCACGATTGAGGGAATGCACAAAAAGGCAGCTCCTGATGCTCTAAGGGGGGTTCCTGCTACATCGGAAGCAGTGTCTAAAGTGACCCTCAGCTGAGATGTTACAGCAGCAGAAGTCACAGCAAGAGGAGCAGCCGCTGCAGCAGCAGCAGCTGTTGCTGCAACTTCAGGAGCACGCTGAAGCTCACAGCGCGTCACCTGAACCTCCAGTCGCCTTCCCCGGTATGCTTTGTTTGCTTGTGCCAATATGTCCAAGTATCTGTACTGAGGCAAAATATACATGCCGACTGATGGCTTTTAACATATACAGCTACATTTTCGTGGTTTTAGAAGATAAGTATATCGTCAGCTGTAGTCCAGCGTAGCACCGAGACGGTTGAACGTCTAACCTTCCCTGGACGACCTCTGAACTGCTGCCTGAAGCAAACAGAACAAGAGCGGACCCCCAGTACCAAGCGTCTCCTACAGCAGTCCTTAATTAGAATCTGTGTTGACCTATTCAGAGAATCATTTGCTGCTCGTTGTTAGCGGCTCCATAGACACCGTCCACCTTTGGGGCAACCGAAGAAGCGTCATCTGTCGCTACGCTATGGTCGTAGGCAGCGACTGGAGGCACACATGGGTGCGCCGCAGTTGCTTCAGCAGATGCTAGCCAGCCGACAAGCCCTGTGCCAGCCAAACAGCTAGTCATCCTGCCATACGACCCTGCGTAGATAGCCAGTATCCCACCAGGTGGGTTGCTGGCTACCTACGCAGCTAGCTGGATAGCTAGCTGTGAGTCAACTGCGGCAAGTGTTTTTCCTTCTCTCTCTCCTCACAGGGCTTGGCGGGAGGCATATCACAGGAGGCACACTGCGCCACTGGCGGAACAGAAGTTGCCTTCAACTTTCCCTTCCACGCTGCATTTAAGGTGCAACTGCTGAAGCCAGAAAAGGACGCATCAACACTAACGCAGCTAGCTACAGTGATAAACCTGGTGTACCATGTGCTGCAAAGGGGCCCCCCGCACAGAAAAACAAACAAATCCACAGTAGCAGCACCAGCAACAACCGTAGCAACCAAAACAGGCGACAGAGTAGCGCGAGTAGCAAGGCTTCAATGCTGCTGAATCTAAGGCTGTAGAAGAGCCCCAACAACCTAAGTCCAAAGCTCACAGGTGTTTTGTGTTCGACCTGCGGCGCAGGGAACTTCGCCTTACGGTTGGCCTCGGATGGCATTTTGCATATACGGAAGAGATTGGCATGTCACTACTGCTTATTTGTACTTGCACTATACACCTTACATCCACCCTTCTACTTCATTGTTTCTGTCCCTTCATCTGTTTATATGAATGTGAGGGAGGGGAGGTGTACAGATATTGCAGAAGGCGACTCGGTGATCGGCGCATCTCCCCGCTTTTCTTTGGCTTTGTGTCTGTATGTATCCCTGTGCTTGCCTTTTGAGCAGCTTGTGTCTGCTCTAATTCTCTTTCAAAGACGTTGTTTCCCCTCAGACAACCACTTAGGTGATTGTCTTTTCCGTTTTCGTTGCAGGCTGGGCCGCCAGATCGTTGCAGGCTACGCCCACGCAGCGGTCCCTGTGCAGCCGGGGCGGTGAGGTGAACAGCTGGCAATGCAGCAGCAGCAGCCGTAGCAGCAGCAGTAGCAGCGGGTGCACGTAGAGCTAGCTACAGAAACCCACCGATAGGTACAGAAATTCACCTAGGTGGAAATGGGTACCCACAGTTTGCTACAGGCACCCGTAGCTAGCTACGGAAACTCACACCCAGCCACAATTCGCTACAAGACCCAAGGCTAGCTCTAAATGAGACAGTTTGCTGCTGCTTGCTTCGTGAGTGCAGACACCAGAAGCGTCTTGCTGTTTACTCCATCGTTGAGTCTTCCACTACCGTCCGTTTCGTCGCCTGGTTGAAAGCCCAAAGGGCAGAATTCATCGATCTCGAAACCCCTGCCAAAGCGGAAGGCAGAGAAGGTGCTGCTGCCCCTGCTGTTGCTACTCCCTCTAGTGCTTCGTCTGTCTCCCTTCTATTCTCGCAGCAGCATTTCCCTGTCGCTTAGACACTCTTTAGCTGTGCTTTGTTGCCCAATGCCATATCAGCACGACGGCCGCTGCTGAACTGTCTCAGTTCCAGCGGAGACCTACCCTATAACCCAAGGCACGGCTAGCTATGGACGCCCACAGCTAGCTACAGATGTCCACAGCTAGCTACACATACCCACAGCTAGGTACAGATGCACACTACTGGCTCACGGTTACCTCGACGTAGCCATCGGGGAACACAGTCAGTCCCAAACAGCTGCAGTTCTGTGCAACTAGCTGCATGCAGTCTAGACAGTCTCACCTTATGTATGCAGAGTGCATGCACAATTATAATCCCTAGAAATAAGCTTAGTTGCGAATGCTCTTGTGCCTCTCTCTCTCTGGCTGGTCATGGACTTTGTAGCTTGCTGCCTGTGTATCTGTAAATATCAAGTTGCAAGTAAACAATATTTCACAATATGTTGACGTAGTTGGCGAGGATAGGACTAGTATTAAAGATAATAATGAACTTGTTTGGGAACAAACAACTGCCTGGCGTCTCTGTTTGCCTGTGGCCTCGGCAGTGGTGAGGGCGGAGAGCGCGGGAGAGCTGACGGTCTCTTTTGAGGTCCTCTTGAAGGGGGCTCAGTCTTTAGGTTATTCCTTTTAAGCCAAGCAAACAACACCATAAATATCTCTAAACCAAACGGGTTTTTCCAGCTGCAAAACTACTATAAACGATGCACTGCAAGCAACAGACAGGCAACTCTTGCCTCCGTTTTGCAGTACCCTTCAACGGTTCCTCTCCAGCGCCATTCGCTGCTGTAGCTATTGCTGGAGCTTCTGCTGTATCTGCTGCGGCACGAATCTCGCCTCGAAATGGTGCTGGCGGCCCCCGAGAGGCTCCTATAATATGGGGGCCCTCTTCGAGTACAAGGCAGCACAGCAGAAGCCCAGTACCTACTACACCTTTTAGCGCAAGCAGCCCCCAGAACCCACTGACTTTGCAGCATCTCGTTTAGCAGCCGCAACCCCCTTCGTTTCGCGCGAAGGGTGCTGCTGCCCCCCCGCACGCTGTTGCTGCTGCTGCGGCAGCAGCAACAGCAGCAGCTGTGGGTATGAACGACAACTGGCGGAATGCCTGCCCCTCAGGACTCAAGTGAGAGAGGGAAACAAGCGACAAGCAATGTACTGCATCTCTGAAAAGCAGAGAAGACGCCTAAAATATATATTCACCAATAACTGCTGCTAGCGACGGGGGCCCCTAAAGCACCGAGTCCCCTTAGGGCCACCCCCAAGCCGGTCGCGCTGCTGCGGTCCCGCGCCACTTGCGAATGTGTTCCGCAACTGAAACTGCTGCTGTTGGAACTGTTGTTGCTGCAGCTGCCGCTGTTCAACCTGTTGCTGCTGCAGCTGTTCCAGCTGTTGCTGTTGCTGCTGTAGTTGAAGCTGCTGCTGACGTATTTTCTCCAGCAGCATTTGCGTGTCCGTTTGTGCTGATGTCGGCTGCTGCTGCTGGGCATAGTGGTCCCCTTTGCCCCTTCTGGTGCCCTTGGCAAGCTGTTGGGGCTCTTCGGCGTCTTCTGATGCTGCCACTGCTACAGCTCCTGCACTTTTGTGCGTCTGTTGCCTCCTGGGATGTGTAGGTGCGGATGAAGCATGGCGCCGCTGCTGTTGCTGCTTGAACCCTGCAGGGAATGCTGCAGCAGCAAACGCAGCCTGTTGCAGCTGTTGCTGCTGCGCAACAGCAGCAACTGCCTGCTGCATGGTGAGCGACGGTGTTGAGAAGTTCATAGCGGAGGAGGCAGCCACGGCAGCTGCGAGCTGCTGCTGAGCAGCAGCAACAACTGGATTCCACGAGTTGCCATTGGCTTTGCTCATGTTTGTGGGTGGCGATAGCGGCCCCGGAAGCCCCATGGGCCAATAAGCGTTCATGGGGAACAGAGGGTAGGCGAACGGTTGCTGTTGAGGGCCCGCAGAACCAGGTGGGGTTGATGCCGTGCTGCTGCTGTTGCTGTTGCTGGTAGCGGGAGATTGGACAGAACCCTGAGTGCCTCTGCTCGAAGCTACAGGGAGAGCGCGGGTGACCGCAGGAGGAGATGATGAGGCACATGCCTCGTTTTTCAATTGCCTCTGCTGCTGCTGCTGCTTGCGTTGTTGATGTTGCTGTTGCTGTTTCAGGCGGGCCTGCTGTTGCGGCTGCTGCTGCTGCTGTTGTTGCTGCTGTTGCTGTTGCTGCTGCTGTTGTTGCTTCTGTTGCTGCTGCTGTTGTTGCTTCAGTTGTTGTTGCTGCTGTTGCTGCCTCTGTGGCTGCTGCTGCGGCTGCTTCTGTTGCTGCTGCCTCTGTTGCTGCTGTTGCTGTTGCTTATGCTGCTGCTGCTTTTGTGGCTGCTGCTGTGGTTGCTGTTGCTGCTCCTGCTGCTGCTGCTTTTGTGGCTGCTGCTGTGGTTGCTGTTGCTGCTCCTGCTGCTGCTGGCGTTCTGTAGGACCACGTTGTTGCGGCTGCTTCTGACCCTTAGTTGGCCTCTGTTGCTGTTGCTGCTGTTGCTGCTGTCCGTTTTGCTGCTGCCTCTGCCTCTGCGAGTGTTGCTGCTGTTTTGCTTGCAGCGTTGTTCTCGAGACCGCCGCGTCAGTTCCAACGGGAGCAGCAGCAGGAGCAGCAGCAAGGGCTGGCCTGATAGGAGCTTCCACAGTGGGTCTGGGTCTGCGCCTCATTGCCTTGTGGGTTTCGTAGTCCTCCTGTGGAGCATCACAGCGCAAGCAGTCTGGGGTGTACGTACACCTCTGAAGCACAGAAGTCAGCAGGCACGGTTCAGACGCAAGGGGAGGTACTGCTATAGTTGCTATTGCTGCCTGGTGCACAAGAGCGGCGCGAGGTAAAAGGACAGCGGTGTGGGAACCTACAGCATTGACAAAGGCTAGGTCTTCTTTCGAAATGTGTCCTTCTTTTGCATATTCACCCAAAACCGTGAAGAAGACGCCACCCGCTGTCTTTCGCCGGCTCCCGTCGGCCACTGTCATGCCACCTGAAGCGAGTATTAAGGAAACAAAAGCAATGAAATCATTAAGGGAAAACACCAGTGCGTATGCGCACCTTCATCAGCACGCAAAGGCGGACAAAATGCAACAACACCTTCAGCAGCACTACCACCACCGCCAGAAACACATACTGCAGCGGCACCCCAAGCAGCAGCAGCACTACGCTGTTTTGTTGTAGCTTGCAAGAGTAGAGGGAACTGCCTGGGTTACCTAAGGCTTGAATCACCAGCGTGTGTTGATATGCCTTCAGGCAGGGCAGAGTTCCGAGGCGCTGCACGGCGCGCAGCAATTTGGCCTTCTTGAGTTCCTGAAAATAGAATTGAAAACGTAAGTTTGAAAAAAACGTAAATAAAGGAAAAGAAGAGTATGCGCGCAGAAGGCAAGACAATATGCATGTGGAACACAAGACGAAGACGAAAGGCTCGCAATGACGAAATGGCAAATAACAGTCGCACGATAGAGAATGGCGTACACTGACTACCCTACGCAGGGTTTAGCATTTAGGGCCTACGGCCACATTTCAGGATTCAGAGTATAGGATGTAAGCAACAGTGCTGCCTCATCGTTTGGCAGCTAGAGAAGCAAAGCACACAGACGGTTGATGCTTTAGGGCTTGGAGAGCAAATGGCGAGCAATGGCAGACGCTCGATTCAGCGACAGACAGATAGTGCAAAGAACCCCTTAGAGTGAAGGGGATGGAACTGCTGCAGCAGCAACTATAGCTGTAGCAAAGAGGTGGTAGACATGGAGGCAGCAGGCAGGGAATGAGGGGCAAGCAGACGGCTAGGCTGGGCAAGATACATCGGAGATAAGCAAAAATACGACAGACACGGGAGACAGGACCGAGCGAGGGGAAAGAAACAGAAATATACGGGGAAGATGATGGCAGGATGAGGCACAGAAAAAGCAGCAGCACCAGCAGAAGCAGCAGCAACGTACTTGAAGGCCTGTGGCCAAGACTTCAACGATAGTAGCGGAGACGGCGCTGTCCGATAGGCCTTGGGCCCCCACGGGGCAGCAGGTTGCTGCAGTAGCAGCATCCCCCAGGCCCACTTGAGACTCCATGGCTTCTCTGTACGACTTCAGCAGCAAGTGCTGCAGCAGCAACAGCAGTGCAGAAGCAGTGCACGAAAAAGCAAGAGAATGAAAGCAGAGGAGGGGGAGACAGAAGAAGCATCAGAAGGCACAGGAAAAAGGCATCACAAGAACAGCAAAAAAGGCAGAGACCGAAGAAGGAGCAGCAAGGGAGACAGGGAAAGGAACAGAGAGAGACGACGCTGCGCACCATAGGACGATGGCCGTGAAGTCTGGCAAGGGCCTCTGCTGTGAAGCCCCAAACGTCTTGCTGCAGCAGCAGCCGCAGCAGCGCCGTGGGTGGGGTTGCTTCCAGCAGCAGCTGCACCACCTGCAAGTTGCCTCGGGTTGCTGCTGCATGAAACGCCCCTCTTTTGTTTATGTCTAGCAAGTCAGGAAGAGCTCCTGAGCCAGGCAAAACGCACGAAAGTACCAAAGGAAGTAATAGAACAACATACGATACATAATGTATATGCAGTATATACTATGCATTGTACGTTACAACATATACGTATTGTGTATATAATATACATGCACGTGCCACGGTGCAGCACACATACACATTGAGTTGACGCAATAGCAAACAGACGGAGAACAGACAGTAATGCAGAGGAATTCTATCATATACACAACAAACGGCAGAACACAAAGACGGACACAAGGAAGAGGAGGAGGACAGGCGTGCAAGCAAAAAAACCGAGAGACAGAGGCAGAAGAAAAGCACGAAAAGCTGAGAGGCAAGCTACGAGAGGAAAGAAAAATAAAGGCGGGCACATACAAACGAAAATAAAGACAAAAATAAAGGCCACGCCAAGTACGAACGAAGATGAACACAAACGAAGGCAAAGGCAAAGACACCATTCTCTCCTACCTCGTTGGAGAAGCCACCGCACATATTCCGGCTTATCACGACACGCCGCATAATGCAGTGGGGGCCTTGAGTCGGAGTCCAAGTCGTTAACTGCAAATGAACGGGGAAACAAGGATATTAATGAACAAATCAGCAAATAATCAAGCAAATCCACAAACGACTCTGCCGAATACAACAAATGGCTGCCGGTGCGCACTCCAGTTGCAGCTAGCTCCAGCTAGCCGTGGCTAGCCGTTGCCCAGACACTGGCAACACCCCGAAGGTGCGGCCTCGTGCAGTGGAGTAGGAGCGGGCAAGGGAATGGCAGCATAAGAAAAGCAAGAAAGCAGCAGACAGGAAAACAGGGAAGCAAAAGGGCAAACAGCAGAGCCACGAAAGTGAAATACCTGTGCTGCCGTGCTGCAACAGCAACTCGGATATGGGAATGTTGCCCTTGATAGCAGCAAAATGGATTGCTGCGCTCCACGTCTGGAGAGAGGACCCTTCGCTGCTGCTGCTGCTGGCACTGCTACTGCTGCTGGCACTGCTGCTACTGCTGGCACTGCTGCTGCTGCTTGCACTGCTGCTGTTGCTGCTGCTGGCTTTGCTGCTGTTGCTGCGGCTGGCACTGCTATCATTGGAGGTGCTGTTAGTGACCAGTAAGCGGGTCGTTTCTTCTTGACAGTCTGCTGATACAAAGCGCTGAGTTGCTTCTGCTGCTGTTTCTGTTGGCACACCAGTTGCTGCCGTTGCTGCTGCAGCTTCGGAGGTGCTTTTTGCTGCAGCACTGACGCCGCTGCCTCTGCAGGGGGCGCAGCGGTGGCACAGGAGGTGTTGGGGATTTGCGCCTGCGTCCAGAAGGAGGCGAACGCAGGGCTCGTGTTCCTTCGAGACGGCAATTAGTAGCGGAGTCCATCTCTTTTTGTCCGGCATATCAACAAATGCAGCAAGGCCTCCCTTCTGCTGCTGTGTTTCCTCGGCCTTAGCGGCGTACTGCAGCATGAGCGACACCGCATGCGCCAGTCCAGTTGCCGCAGCATAGTGCAGTGGGGTGCGCCCTTTGTCGTCTGTTGCAGCAGGAGAAGCACCTCGTTCAAGGCACAACTTCACGACGTCTGTGCGGCCTACGAAAGACGCTCGAATCAACGCGGTCTGCACGTCGGGGCCGCTTAGTCCGGGGGGAGCGCGGATGCCTGCCGCTGCTGCTTCTGTTTCGGCGGGTTCAGCTGCTGATGTGTTCGAAGAATGCCCTGCTCCTGCCTCCACGTCTACAGGAGCAGCTGAGGCAGGAGAAGATGGGGGGGCCCTACATGCAGGAGGACTGTTGACAGATCGCGTTGCATCGCAGCCGAAAGAGGCGTCGCTCTCCGGTGCTTCTTTCGCCGTCTGCTGCTGCCGCTGCTGATGAAGAAAGCCCCGGCCGTTTAGCTTCTTGGCGGTTTCAGTTGCTTTGGACGGCGGAGGCCACACGCTATCTGTACTCTCTTCACGTTGTTTCCGCCGAGGGCTGCTGGGGCTGCGCCCATCTGCGGCAGGGGGAGGCAAGCAAAAGCTTGGTTGCTGCTGAGGCTGCGGAAGATTCGGTGTTGCAGCTGCAGCAGTAGCAGTGCCGGATACAGCAGCTGTCTGCTGCAACAACTGAGGGGGGAAGGAGCCCTCCTTCAGGCACAGATCTGCAGGAGGTCCGAAGTCGAGCTCGCCTACAGAAACTGCTTCCGGTGGGTGTTGGGGAGTTTGTGCTGCTGCTGCTGCATCAGTACACTCTTCAGTCTGCTTCTGCTGCTGTTGCTGCTGCTGCTCCTGTTTGGGCTGTTTCGGTGTTTGGGGCTTCCACACCTGGTGTTTGAGGCCCCCTCCATGGCGGCCACTATGCCAGCGACCTCCAGGCGCTCCCGGTGGGAGGGAGGGCTTGAGATGTTGAGGTGACATGGTCGGTTTCCCCACGGTGTATGTGTGGAGTGACAGTGAATGGGTGGGTTAGACGAGGTTGGTTGGGGAGGAGTACAGCGACTGCGCCGCAAGGAAAGCGGTCTTAGACGTAGAAACAGCGAAGGTAGACGGCAGCAGACATGCTTGGGCCAAGGCCTGGGCTGGGGAGCAGCAGGAGGCGCAGCTCGAGAGGCTACAGGCACTGTTGAGCTTTACGGGTAGGTTGATGCGCGGAGAAGAGAGAAAGCGGGAGCCGCCTCCCCAATGAACTGTGGGCTATTACGCCTTGTGTCAATCCTTGAAAAGGAAAACAACAAATTCAAAGGTGATTTCATCAGCGCATGCATCAAACAAGGCTTGTCTTGCACCCGCTCCCTGCCGTAGGCCACAGCAGACGCTTTCCGCCATATGCAGGTGGCACAGCACCCCCCCACCGGTTGCAACAGGCGGACAGCCAGTTTTTCTTGCTCCACACTGTCTTTAAATAAGAAGCTTATATTTTTCTGCATTCAATTACCCTTAAATAGAGAAATTTCGGCGTATGCACGCCTGTGAACACCACAACCAGGCAGACACCGCAGGGAGCTCACGCCCACAGAAGGCACAGAGCCCCGCTACAATCCTATGCCTGATTTCCTGCTACACCTTCTCACAACAAACAGAGCGGTGTTCAAACAAAAGAACAAATTAGAAGTGCATTTTTAGCATCTATTTTTCACACAAGTTCTTGTATTTCACAGCTGAGGGACAACCACGAAACAGAATGGATGTCATTGTTTCTAAATCGCACAGTGGCAGGCAAGATGGTGTTCGAAGCATGCTCTGTCTGGAGTTGGTAGGTGGGCAATGAACACATTTCTACTTGTATGCAGGCCGGCCGCTAAGGGTCAATGAAGTGTTTGAGAATTGTGTACATCTTCATGCTTGCCATCATGTAGCGGGGTCCGCCTGAAGCTGGTACCCGAATTTTTACTTGCGCAGAGACTGGCTGAAACATAGGCTGTGCGGTGTTTGCAAGTCTGTCTGAAGTGGGCACAAGAACCTTTACCCGGCCCTAGTAGACAAATGGTAAGCAGGAAAAACTTATCAGCAACTGTCTACAGTGTCGGTACATACAGGCAAGAAGCCTAGTTTGTGCTTCTTTGGGGGTTAACCGGCACCGTTAGTTGCAGCATGGTACGTTGCAACTCGTGGCAGGCCACCTCCTACCCCGCAGCGCCAAGCGCTTGAGCCGCTGAGCCCAGGACGCCTGGAGACTGGTGAAGGGCGTCAGTTGCATTGAAGGAATTCTGATCATAAATTGTCTTGGCTCTGTTGCAGCTCACTACACACCTCAGAACAAAGACACGTCTGGGGCCTGGTGATCCAACTTGCAGTGCATTGGAGTCAACCGAACCCGCAGGTCCCCTCTGAGCTAACTCTGTGCTTATCCGAGTTCGTGATAATGGGTAAAAGTTGTTAGTGCTACTCAACACAGGTTACGCAGTGCATCTGATATTTGAAGTTACGGTGAGAAGGCGCAACGTTCCAGTCTATTGGTCGAAGCATCCTCGACGGCAGCGATTCGTTAAGAGGATACGTAACTCATTTGGACAGAGAATGTTGACACAACTGCCAGAAGCACCATCAGAAACCTAATGGCTTCAGTACTCGAGTCCCCTTACTTCAATAGGCTTTTTTCTTAACAACTCGTGCTAGTTTCGTAGAAATTGGGTTGTTGCTTCTCTCTCAGCACATTATGAATTTGAAGGAGCATCACATTATCGCCTGCTATTCACACTTCACGCAGAGAGAGTTGCAGTACAGGAAAAGGATCTCGTCACGGTCTAGTGGGGAGTAAAAAGGTTTCGGCATTACCGCTATGTAGGCCTGTTCAAGGAGATCACCAACCCCCGACACAACTCGAGAAGAGTTTTGGAGACTACGACAATGGAAGAATTGTTCGGTGGCTTTGCCGGTTTACGCCGTTCTACTTCATGGTAAGGCATATCAACGCCATCATCAACGCCGCCGAGGCCCGCCCCTCCCACCCTGCAGCATTTCAGCGTCTGCAGGGAACTCTCGTGGTACCTGATGCACCATGGACTTCGCCTATTGTATATTCCAGCTTCCCTTTGTGCTGAGTTTGCTCAAAGTGCATGATCATGCTTTAGGAGGCCACGTTTGAGTCAATACAACAGTGGCGAGACTAGCCAGGATATTTTTTGGCTTTCGATGTTTCCCTCTGCGGAGAAATATGTTCTTATCTGCTCACAAGTTCAGAAGCAAAGGCCACGGTACACTCTCAAACCCAGACACTTGAATATCCTTCCAGTTCCCAAAAAGATTTGGGTGGATGCCTCAGAGACTTCAGAGTGGGCTTGCCGTCAGTCAAGGCTACGATAGCACCCACTCTGTAGTGGACAGGCTAAGCCAGTTTGCGCACTTCATCCCCTCATCTAGCCCCATTACACCGAATGGAGTGGGCAAGGAAAAGACAATCCCTTCCAAGGATCAGGAGTTTGTTAGCGCCGTTTGGCACGAGTTTATGATGTAACATCCACGATAGTGTGACTGGAGCACATTGATAGCGTACACACTTGTTAAGCAGCAGTATTCAACGTTGTAGGGGCCAAAGAAAGTCAGAAAATTACGTCAAATGACCAAAGAAAGGGGAAACTAAACTGATTTCTGGGGAACCTTTGAGAGAACCTATTCCTCATGAATATCTATAGGGAATCCTCGCTCCACCGGCAACCAGTGAAGGCAACGGCATGAACAGTGCAGCACAAGTTTGGCGCTTGTCCGGTTATTTGGGCATCGTTCCCGCTTCATAACCCATGAATATACCAGGAATAATTTGCATTCTATATGCCCTTGTGCCCAAATTATTCCCTTATTGTGATCTCGTCTCCCCTCTTTAACTTCGGCGAGCTTCTTTGAACCCTGCGTACATCTGTTCATCTGGGATGGACACCCTACGACGTCTGCCAGTACCAATAACACTCACAGCTCGTTCAGAAAAACCATCATCAGTATGCATGAAGACTGATGACGACTGATGACCGCTTTTTGTTGCTTGCATCCCTCTATTAGTACCGGGTAAGAATCCATGCTCTCTCGCAAGGCATACTTGCCAGCGCTCAACAGCCTTAAACCTACATTCTTAACCGGTTCTATTAGACGAACGGTACACGGGCAGAACCCCCCAAAAATTGCCTACAATGTTTGTACATACACGCAGGAGGGCTAGTTTGTGTTCCTATTGTGCAATTGCATGTTGGCATGTTGGGTGTTTTGCTGTCTCTTTCTCCCTCTCTCCCCTACGGTGAAAATTTGAGGAGCTGTCGATGTGTATGTTGCTAATTGTCATTATTGACATGGAGAGGGCAATTGTGAGCGAATCGCGGAGGTAGGTCACAGCATAGTCATATTGTGCCTTGAGGCTACGAAGATGTGCATGCGGTGCAGCGTTCAATCCTTAGCGCTGCTGATATTCTGCCCACTGGTTGGCCAGTTGAGCAATGTTTAATAGTTTTGAACGAATACCTAAACGATAAGAACCAGTGGTAAATATTTCCCCTCCTGTATATTTAGCCTCTAGTTGCTTTCCCTGTAATCTTCCTCAGGCTTCTTTTCTTCCACTTACTCTGTGTTTTCTTTGCTAGACTTTTGTCCCTGGGTTAGGGTTAAGCACATTGCATTTATGAAGTAGAGGCGGTAATGCATGAGGGAAGCTGCATGCAAGTCACCAGTCAGCCCCGCGGCCGCATGCACGAGCATTCTGTGGTTGGTCTTAAGTCAGAAAACTCGTTAGTTGGTATATGAAAATTTGGTTGTTTTTTATTTTTTCATGAGGTTCGCTAGGAAGACGAAAACTTTGGTGGAGCTTCGACGCCGCGTATCCATCCACGATTTGTGCTCCTGCGCGCTGTCTTTAAACCGATTGTCTGGATGCATGTTTACCGTGGGACTTACAGTTGACATAAGGAATGGCACGCGTGCTCCTTTGTGGTGAAGTACGCGGTCGAGTCAGTGAGCTGCACCGCCTGCTTCACCAGCTGCAGAAAAAGGGCCCTTTTGACCTGGCAATTTGCACAGGATCTTTCTTTGCTGCTCCGGAGGAGCCAGGCGGATCCCCTGAATGCAGCAGCTTTTCACCTGAGGAGAACCCTCCTGAGGGGCATCCGAGTCCGCAGGATGCACCTCAAAAGGCCCTCGGGGAAGCTGTCTGTAATGCTCTCTCTGATCAATTCGCAGTTGCCTTTGAGGAGCTAAAGGGGTGCTCCCGTTCTCTGCCCATCCCTCTGTACATCCTGGATGAAGCTGCAAGCCGATGTGTTCAGCGTTTGCAGACACAGCGCCCAAAGGAGGGCCACCCTCCGGCGGCAGCTCCCCCTAGCAGCACCACGGAGAGGCATCACAAGGTAAAGACAGAGGATGCCTCTGCAGATGCTGCTACTATAGATGCTACACCTTCAGAAGGCCTCTCTGCAGATGTTAAAGCTGAACCGAATGGAGATACGTCTCCGGGGGAAGAAAAAAGTGGAGCGGATTCAGACAATCCCCACCAGTCTTGCAGTGTTGTATCAGGAACACGGGATTGTACCTACACTCCACTGCAGTTGTTGGACAATGTTTGGGTGCTAGCGGGGGCGGGGGTAGCGGAACTGCACGGCCTGAACATTGCCTTTTACGGGGGGCAAGGGCCTCCAGAGCTTGCCTGCAGCATGTCAAATGCGCCCAGCCACCAGCAACAACAGCAAGAGGATCCGCAGCAGAAGGAGCAGAATGGGGCCGACGATAGAGTTGCTACGTTTGCCTTGAGCCTCGAAAATGGGTGGGGCGGCTTTTCGGCTTTCAGGGGCAGCACTGACATCTTGCTAACGACAAGGCCCCCTTTAGGTATGTTCGACGGGCTTCCCCCCGGAGTGGTGCCGGCCTTTGCAACCCAACAGCAGAAACGGCAACAGCAGCAGCAACAGGACGAGTCTCCTGGTGCGAACAGAGAAAAAGGAGGGCTGGTGGATGGTAAAGTTGAGGCATCCTCGACAGAATTTGAAGGCCGTTAGTAAGTTGTTCCCCCTACGTCCTCTGTAGAGTGGGTGTCGAGACCACTAGCATAATTGGTCCATGTTTTCATCTCCCTCCGTGCTGGGCCCCACGAGGCGTGTTGTTAATCTTGCACCCTGCATGTGTCTTTGCTGGTTTTATTAGAAAGAATGGTGCTGATGCGGCTGCTGCTGGCCCTAGCTACAGCCATCGGGCTGTTCCTGTATAGCGACAGTCGTCTGCTTTTTGTGTTGTGCACCGGCCAGTGCCGTTGATGCTGTTGTTGTTGTTTTTCTGGCCTTCACAGGCATGTTGCTGCTGCAGTGCTTTGTTGCTGCAGCTGTAGAAAGTCCAGCTGTCTCGCGGACTTCCTCGAGCCTCGTCATATCGTCTGCAGCGGCATAGGGCTCTTCTGGCAGAGGCCCCACTTTAGAGGAAGACACTTTGGTGAGGCCCTTGTGCGCAGGCTGCAGTAACTAAACATATGAGCGAAGCTTATGCCACTGCTTTTGCCTGTGCTTTTGCTGCAACAGACACATGAGCTTTAGTTGTGGCCCTTTGGATTTCCTCACACACTCCAGGGGCCGATTGGGAGAAGGTCCTTGGCAGGTTGGGCTGAAGCAGTCATTTATCTTGCATATCCTCCTGCTTCTGAAAGCTGCTGTAGATTGTGAGAGCTGTTGGTCTCCTTCCTGGTGCATATGGTCCGTACGCTGCAGGATATTCAATGCGTCTAATCTCCTTGGGGGTGGTGGGAGAAAAAGGTCCCAATGTAAAGGCATTCCATGCTCTCCAGCTGCGGCCCATCACACACATGCTGAAGCAGGTGCAGCAGAATGAGCAGCATCAGCTGGAGGGTCATCTGAAAACACAAGGGGAGACGAAGCAAGAGGAGCCCGGTTGCTCTGCAGCTGCAAAAGACGCAGCTGAGGAAGCCCGTGCTGCGCTGTTCTATGTTCCCCTCGAGTGTAACAGCCCCAACCCATTCGTGTGTGCTAGCCGGCAGGGGTTATTGCCGCTCCATGCTCCACCTACAGAGGAACCTTCAACAACCCCCATGCAGCTGTCTCCATCACCTGTTGCCGGCTTCCAGGGGCCACAGCGGCCTTTCAAGCGACCTCGAGAAACGGGTGTAGTGCTTGTTGAGAACCTGCCCTATGCAGTCACAGACGAGGGCCCTCTGAAGGCTGCCATGGAACAATTTGGAGCCGTGAAATTCGTGTTCATGCCGAAGGATAAGGCTGATCCAACAAGAGGAACAGGGAAAGCGTAAGGGAAACAGACTATGCTTCTCGCTGCTGCTGGTGTTGCTGCATCTGGGTGAGGTCGTGGAGTAGTGTGAAGCCGGTCCTGTGGCCATGTAGGCGAATTTGTGTTCGTTTGTGTTGCCGGTGTGCGCAGATTTGTGGTGTACGTCGACCCCAAGTGCGCCGCTAAAGCAACGGAAGCGTCTGGGCAGCTGGAAGGAGGAGGCCGCCCTCTTCGGTTTCGCTTGTATTACGACAAGATTCCCTTCGATAGACCTGCTGGAGAGAAGCGGGTGAAGTGCAGCGATGTGATCGCCACAGAGCCGCATGCAGACTGCTGGTTTTGCCTGGCGAATCCTCAGGTTGAAAAACATATGATTGTAGACATTGCGGAACGTCTGTACACTGCAGTACCCAAGGGGGGACTCACCTCTTTCCACATGCTTTTTATCCCTATTGCTCATTTGCCGTCTCTAGCCTATGCTGACTCAGAAACTCGCAGAGAGGCAGCTGAACTAGTTGCAGCCGCTCGCAAAGCCTTCCACAAACAAGTGAGGGCGTGTCTCGTCACATCCTGACATTTAGTTTGCGCTAGGAGTTGAAATAGTTGCGAAATCCCTTCCAACGGTCGCTGCTGGTTCAGCTTATGTTCTCCACCCCTTCGTATTGGAAGGCACATATTTTGGTTAAACATATGTTCCCACGTTTTTATGCACGAGCGTGGCAATAGTGCCCAGCAGATGCTTTCTTGAGAGCTAGTGTTCCCGTATAGTAGGAGACGTGTTGTTGAGAAGGAATATCCCGGTGGATTCCCACTGTGCGGACGCCCATTGTGGCATGCCGCACCAAACGATACATGTTTGTGCTAAGGATGTAGGGTGTGAATGCGTGCAGAACCTGGACTTGGTCGTGTACGAGCGGTATGTTCCAATGAAGACCACCAAGGCGATGCACTGCCAGCTGCAGGCCATTCCCTGCGACCGTTATCAGTCCCTGCGATCGGGGGAATTGTTCGAGGTAAGTGAAGTAATGAGATTGTTCTGCATTCCCCTACGCTTACAACATCACTTGCAATTTTGAATTCCGTTTTCTGCCCGTGGACGCCGCAGCGGCTAGAATCGCCGCAGCGGCTAGAATGCAAAGGGCCTGTAGGAAACGTTGAGTTTATTGCGACCCGGGGGCAGATATGCAACTGTCAACCTTCCAAGGTTCATATTTGAATGACAGAGTTTGTAGCAATTATACTCCCTAGAATTCGGTGGGATACTGGCACTACACTTGGTGGGCATGCATACCACTGTTGAGTGTCCTTCCTTTTCTGCGTCTGTCTGTAGAAGCGGGCGCGGCGGGCCGGCCTTTCGCTGCAAAAACTTCCCAGCTCTTCGGATATAACTGCGCTGTCTGAGTTGGCAAGGGACCCGGACTTGGGGTATTTCTATTTGGAGTTACCGGGCGTCTGCACTGCACGAGGCCAAACAATTGAGAGGTACATACACGTACAGTCTGGAAGAGATAGCGGGAAGATTCCCATGAACTTCGGAAGGGAAGTTATGGCGGAGTTGTTAGGAGAGACGGACAAAGTCAACTGGCAGAGTTGTCTTGTCCCAAAGGACCAAGAGGCGAGGCTAGCTGCTGAGCTCCGTCAAATTGTGACAGCCAGCTAGCAGCAGCAACCTGACTGCAACGGCTAACAGCAGCCAGCGCCAGCAACGCGCATTTTCAGTGTCTCTGCGTAGAGCAGCGGCTCGACAACTGCCTCTGCTTTGAGTTTGCGAGTCTGCCGCGTCAGACGCGCTTGCGATAAACGAATATATCACCTCTAGCTGAAGCTTTCTGGTGACGAACATCTTACCGAGAGTTTAGTCCCCAAATATTTCGCGATAGGTTTAACCATGAGTAGCGTCTACACAGGTTTCAGTATCGCCGCCGTGTTGCTGTTTCAGTATATGCTAGGTTTGGTGTCTGCTTGGGTGGCTGATCATTGACCACGATGCAGCGAGGCCCTAGGTTGCAGCGAGTCCCCGGTGAGCAGTGTAGCAGTCTATCTTAGACGCAGTTGAGCGAAGCCCGTGTTTATTTCATGGCCTTGTCCCAGGCGTAGACACCCACAGCTTTGGGTGGAATTGCAAACGCAGGACAGCTTCCGCGTGCGGGGTTTTGCCCACACGTAGCGCACTGGATACCGTTCAAGTGACAGCGCTTCTACGCCGTTCCAGTCGAGTTGTGCAGCTGGTCTAGAAACAGTTCGGTTAAGATAAGCTATCCATGCCTAGCGCAGCCAGCCATGTGATGCGGCGTTACTGTTACCCGTGAAGGCAGTCGTTTTTGCACACTGAGAGATTTTTAGGGCGCAGTATAAGGCATAATAGGTGCCTCTGGGTCTCTTCGTTCGGCTGTGCTTCATTCTCTTCGTGCCCATGAGTGCGTGTGTGTGCCTGGTTTGAACATCAACATTCTGTTGCCTGTTCGCCCCGGCTCGTCTCGTCTACCCCTGCGCCTGCCTCTTATCAATTTGGCTGTGCACGCAGTCTTTGCTGCTGCTACGAGTATGCTGCTATATCCGCTTTTCGGTGGTCTAGGCGCAGAGTGTCACGAAACAGCTGGACGACGTAAAAGACGGGCGATGCCGGAGCCCAATAATGCACCCGGCGGTTTGTGAAACTGCAGTGACAGCGGTCATGTGGTAAAAACATCCCATCCAGAAAGAACTGCCGAACTTGCCGTAGCAGCACAAGCGGCGGGCAAGCGTACCTGCTTTGGTAGAGCAGGACTTGCAATCATTGTCTCGCCCTTTGCAATTCGCACTCTACGCACGCAAGAACGGAGGCAAGTTCTGCAGTGGTTAACAGAACGTCAAGGCCGCCGCCCCATGACAACGGTTCAAACTGAATGCGCAGGGGAATCTGGTAAGCCCCCTCCGACGAAGCCGCCTAGGACTGAAGCGAAGGGGAGAGCTCTTTCCACGCACCAGTCCTGTACTCGCGGAACAGGACTATGCCGGCAAAGCCTTTTTATTCGTCCCGTCACGCCCTTCTCCAAGCAATGGCCAGCACCCCGCAAGCACTCCGAACAGCCAAGCGAGGGATGTAAACGCAGTGGGGCTGACATGCGCCTTTTGGCACCCTCCTGTAAACAAAAGGACCAATTTGACGAAGGCAGCAACAGAACAAGTCCGGTCCCATAAGGTGCACTGACGCCAAATGATAAAACAAAGGCTCTCCATTCATAAAATAGGCACACCAACGCCCGGGGGCCTAATTAGTGGAGGTCTGACGCCTGTTCCGACCCTCAGTGATGCGCAGGGATGACGGCGCAGTGGTTGCGGTACAGTGCCAGGAAGGCTAGACACCCCGCCGCTGGGTTCAACACCAACGTGAGGCCGGCCACAATACCGCAGGCAAGAGCTGGGCGTGTATGGAAGTCCAAAAACCAGTAGACGAACCCAAAGCCGAAGGACTGTGCAGTGGCAACAACGAGTGCATAAAATGCACCCAGTACAATGGATATTGGAAGGACAGAAAGGCGGTATGGGACTCGGGCGAGAAGGGCCAAAACCCATGTCAGTACGGGGCAACACAGGTGCAGGTACACCGTAGCCAACAGCTTTTTAGGCGTCGCCGCCGGAAATAGCATCGTCCAGTATACCAAAAACATTACGGTAACCATTGGGAGTGCTAGACCAACGGCGATGTCATGCAAGCACAGCAACGCCTCCAACGCGGGCTGACGAGGACTGCCGCTGAAAGGCCGCCGGAAGTCACAGCATCTCCTCAGGCTTAAATTCTCAGAAATTGACTTGTGGCACCCGCGCTCTGCTGCCTCCTTCATCAGTTGTCTGTACCCCACATCCGCGCTGTTAATAAGAGATACAATGCAAGCACGAGGCGCCGCATACGCGCAGGGGTAGGAGCCACGAGGTCCCTCAGCCAGGCGCTCCTGACGGCTGATGGATCGGACTGCAGCTATGCTAATGATTGTGGACAGGAAGAAACCCGCGGAAGCCATCAGATTTGTCCAGGTTGTGAAGAAAAGCAATTCCCTAAAACAATTGGCGAAAATTAGTGCCACCAGATGGCCTATGGAGACAACCCCGCGCAGCAGTAGTAGCGTACATGGGCCGAAACTAACCAAGGAACTTCCCCCATACACCAACCGCCAGTCGCTGCCATACAAGCCACAGTCCATCTGCAGGTGAAATATCTTTGACACCTCGGCGCGGAGCTGGCTACAGAAGCCCTCCCTCCAACAGCCCGGACGAACATTTTTCAATGAATCTGGAGGCGGAAGACTGTTGTATGCCGCAGTATCTTCAACCCGTTGACGATGCGGCTCGTTGAAGGAAACAGCAACTGCCGTGGAAGGCTGTGGCGCAAACTCCGACCTGACACAGTAACACAGACTGACAATCCATACAACCTAAACGAGCAGCAGAAGAAAAACGCATGGGTACGCGTTCAAATTCCTTAAAATTTAGATACATAGTGTAGATCCGAACGCTACAACAAATGGTGCAGCAGAAAACAATGTACAAAAGCGCTCCAGCGACAGCTAGGCTTGCAAAATTTCGAGTCTTGCGAGCGAAGATAAAGGGCGGAAGGGTTGGGGAGTGTGTTTAAAGAAAAAATTATGTCGGATTCTATATGCACATTTGCATTGCAAGCTTGCCGTACTCCGTCGAGTCTTTGCATTTTCCTTCTCCCGTTTGCTCCATCTTGTGGTGCGTGTGCTGTCCAAGGGCCTGTATATCAGCACATGCTCAGCCGGATACACTCACGGCACGTCTGCATACAATTTTCTCGTTGTCACTCCGAAGTAGCTATCGTCTCTGCCTAGATCAACAGTGAGACGGCCACGGGTTGAAACCGAAGAGTTCAAAAGGCAAAGCCGAAGGAATTATGGCCCACAGATAGCAAGAGTATTACAAATGGAGGAAACTGCGACGCACAAACGAAGTAGGTGCAGGAATCCAGCCGCTTTCTGTGAATGCGGCACAGAACAGTCGAGCAAGACATGCCACACCGAGACGCACGGACGAGCCTTTGGCCTGCTCAGCTAGAGGAGGTGTGGGATCGTTATAAAAAAATTATCGACACTCTTAGAATGAGCGAGAGTAGAGGGGAACTCCAACGGATGCAAAAGAAGAAGCCTTTCTACGAAGTCGCTCCAAGGCCTTGAGAACCAGACGGAGTCAATGGAAAAAATCGATCGACCCAGTGGTAAAGGTGAACAAATGACGATAAAAACAACGAGTTGCTGCAATATTATGCACGTGTCACTGAAACAAGCACCAATAACAGGCCCCACGGTAGCGTTGCACCGGTCAGTCTACGCTAAGCAAGGAAGTGCATCTGCTCACGGTGCGTACCGTCAAGCTTTAGAATGAAGATGTACCACTCAAAGAAATACTTTGCGTACATTTTCGGGAAAATTCATGCATGCGTAAGTGGGAGTTCGCTTCATTGTGGGATCAATTTTGGATCATTTGCACTATACCTTGCACACTGGATGGAGTGGTTGAGTTCCTTTGCAGGAAGTTGGCGTAGCACTTTGCTGCGAAGCATCCGTTCTGGGACTTAGATGAAAATAGCTTGAATAAGTTGCGTGGAGAGTTGGAAACGCTAAGTTCACAAGCAGGGCATCACCACTGTAACGGAAGTCTTCGATCTTGCATTTTTGGGTTTGCCTTACAACAGGAGCCACAGATTCACAAGTTGTATACCCCAAATGAGGTTGAATGTTATTGTTCTCTCAGGCTGGGAAGTAAGAGTGGCGTTCTACAATGCAATGTAGAGCTTTAGTGAAAATGTTGGACCTTAGAAATATCCCTGCTCAGTCTGATGGGCGTTTCCCTGTAGAAATTCCCTTTCTTTTGCCTCTTCAATGATATTGTGGGTGCATCTGGCCTATTTTCATTGCATCGGAAAGCTAGAGTGCTGTTTGCAAGTTACAAAGTAGTAAGTAAGCTGCGCGATTCTCATCGCACAAGGAAAAACAAATTATCATGTGTTTTTAGTTCGAACTAATGGGCGTGTTTTGACGGAAATCCACCATAGAGACGGTGTCAATATGGGGCTCGTGAACGTGAAATTTGAACTTAAGTAACGTTGCATGCTCGGGTTTTCACTGCCTACAGATGAAAAGTTTGCCAAACTAACTCCCTGCTAGAGAAATGGATAGTGCTATAGTATGCCTCATGGCTTATCTGTTTACCCGGCCTTGCCGTTTCCTGTATATGGGCATATCAACAGCCTCGAGAACAAGTGGATTAACGCCTCACCATTACTTCTTAATTGAAAATGCGGGACTCCTGGTGTTGGAGGTGTGCTGAATCGATACCTTTGAAACGAATAGAATGCTGCTGGCCGGCCAGTGAAGATACTGCCAAGCATCATGGAGTATATCAAGCACACTGACTGCTCTTTACTTTATGTTTCTTTTAGCATGTGACAACTGAATTTCCAGAAGCTTCAGCTGCAGCCGAGAAGAGCCTTTCCCGGGATAAGGCCTCAAGCGTAGATAATGGCATGCAGGAGTTTTCGTAGTTGACCGTTGTAACAATGGTATCCGGGGTCTTGGGTTGGTACTGCTGCAGTTAGACCCTGGAAACAGGAGTTGCTGTTGAATGTGTGGGTGGACAACTGCGCAGGTGACAGATTGTGCCGTAAGAAGTGCGCCGTGCGTTAGAATGAATTGATGTCGTGACTGTCAAAACCCGTACGAGATGAGGAAATGCAACGGGGAAATCGGCGCTACGCGTGCCAACATCCTCGTGGATAACCTCCAAGTTGGACGGAGTAGCCTGTTGTTTGCACAGTGCAATCTCCCGTAAGGCATATCATTATGCCCCAACAACTTCGTACGCGTAATGATCTCAGGAGAGGCATGCCTACCCGTGCCTCGAAGCCAGCACGCAGGAGACGCAACGGGCTGCATGCTGCTGGGAACGGAGTATTTTGTACGTTGTGCCGCTTTTCCGATATAGCCAGCTGTTCCAACTAACTAGAGTGAAGCGGCTAAAATTACGGGGCTCAACAGTGACAGTACAATGCAACTGATCCCGCTGTTGTGTACTGCTACATGCATGCATGCTGGCCCCTTAGGGCGCAATATGTGTTTCCTCCACGGCGTTAATAAGGGCGCCAAAGAGCCTATGTCTCAAACTGTGGAGTTCTCATGCAGCAGAAAGCGCAGCAAACAGTGCAACTCACAGGTCACCACGTTCCACCGGCCGAAGGCCTTCTGCTTTGCCAGTCCCCGGCGGGACGGAGAACCAGCTGCTCTTGGAAACTCAGCGTAAGTGTTTTGGCTCTGTTGCAGTTCACAAAGGTCCTAAGATCGGGGTCTCGCTATATGTAGCATAGTCTCCCTGGTGTTCTCAAGATGGGCCATCACCCTCCTCTAGCAGTAAACCTTCTCCGCAACGGTCAATAGCGTACATGCATTCACTCAGTAAGGCTTGTCTGTTCTTGAACGCAAGGATGTCTTGTATCATTTGTTGCAGCAAGGTGTGAGCAATTTATGGCGCGCCGCTTCTCCCCCAGATCCAGGCGCACGGGCCGCTGCGCCCAGCAAGCCTGGAGACTAAGAAGGGGGTTCAGTTGGTCATAAGTCTCATATTAGGTATTCTGATTCCTTTTTAGCTCGCAACAGCCATGGGATACCACCTCAGGCTCTACCTACACTGCCTACACTGCTGTGTACAGACCCGCGGATGCTGGGCAGCTCGCTCACTTGCATGCATACGTATGATGCATATGAAAAAGTCGAAGACAAACAGTCACACAAAGGCGCCCAGCAGTGTGTGTACAGAGGCTGCCCTTGTCGGCATCACCGCAATGCAGCAGCTGCTGCCAAAAAGCACCAGACCTGGGAAACACGGCGTAACTCAAGGACGAGACATGGCAAAAGTACCACACTCAATAAAGCAACCTCAGAAACAGTTGGGGGCGAACGGCAAACAAAGTGCTCGCGCGACAGAGACGGAAGCTTCAACGAAAGAAGAAAGGGCCTTTGCCAGGCAGGAAGACGCCCGCAAACAGCCTTACGAAGCAGGACAAAGCGACTAAAACATGCCTAAATTGTAAATGCAATAAAATAGGTGATATAGTGGGATTTATCTGTGAGATGAGGTGATGTAACGAGTAAAGACGACGGGGCTCTCATGGTGGCTAGACCCTACGGGCTCATCAGCGAAGCCCTCTGAGTGGCAGACACTCTGCAGCAGCTGGCAGCACCTCTGTGCACGCAGCGATATAGGTGAGTGGCAGCAGCTCTCTCTTTCCTGCTACTGAACAGGACTGCCGGTTATACACAGCTGGTAGCAAATCTTTTCGATAATGAATACGGGGACCCCGGGCAAGTCATTTAGAAGTTTACTCTAGTTAGCCGGTCGCAGAGACTCACGTATAAGTGTCTAGCAGGGCTAGGCGCACTACACCGCTGCTGCTGGCCTTTGTGAGAGTGGATGGTGGAGAAGGTGAGTCATTGCATCGCATATGCCAACATCTTAAGAAAAAATTTCGAAAACAAGCACATTGTGCCTTTCCTGGGGGGCTTGGGGAGGCTGAGCGGAACTGCGCTGCCGTGCTTCTTGGGCTTCCCCCCGGCACAGTGGCTGTGTGCACACGTGCTGCGGCGTCCTGTTGTAAATTTCTCGCATCTTTGCGTTGGATATTTGATTACTGAGTTTAGATCCTTGAAATATCGTAGGCGGGGCTTCTCTTGAGGAGCTTGGGTATCCGCCGACTGCCTCAGAAAATCTGAGCTGTTTCCCCTCAACCCCAGCCCTGTAGTTCAAACACCTCAAGTACCAACAGAAGTCGAGATGGCGGATCAGCTCACCGAGGAGCAAATTGCAGAGTTCAAGGAGGCATTTAGTCTCTTTGACAAAGATGGAGACGGAAGTGAGCTTCAGTAATGGGGGTCATTCCCTGGAGGGGCCCGAGCTGTTGACGCTGCTGCTGTTCTTGACTCGTCTTGCTTCAGTGGACGCGATGGAAAGGCTCGACTCTATTTTATTGAATCACATTGGACTGCCTGGTTGCTTTAAATGCTTTTCTCCCCTTTCTGTTACTTCCATGGGGCCCTTGGGGCCGAACACCCAGCGGCCTCAACGGCCAGCTTGAGTTGTGCTCCGAATATGCAGACTCCGTTTTGCACTCTTTTCCTTCTGCTGTGTCGTATTTTTGTTCTTTGTGGGGGGAGAAGCATAATAGACACTAGCGGCGTATGCGTCGCTGCACGAATGGGGGAGTAGGGATGTTGCCGTCGACGAACTTGCATGTAGCTGGATATCCTTGTGATTGTGGCGTGCATCTACCCTATGAGTATAGCTTAACAATGTCTTTTGCGTACATTTCGAATCATCCATTGTATCAGTTTTCCACACAGTTACAGGATGACCCCAAAGTGGAGCTCCCGCTGATGGGGAAGCTAAGATGTTCGGTTACGTTCATATCATCACACGGGATTGCACACGAGCATCCCATATTCGCATTTCTTCATTCATTTCACCCCGTGGTGTGGTGTTCTTGATGGTTTGTGTGCGACTGTTCGGTCTACAGCAATCACAACCAAGGAGCTTGGGACTGTGATGAGGTCCTTGGGTCAGAACCCGACGGAAGCCGAATTACAGGACATGATTAACGAAGTCGACGCAGATGGTAACGGTAAGAACAGCCCGCCGTCATATTTAGCCGATCCTTCACTTTGTGAGGTTGTTGTTAGTATCCACATCGGCCGCTACCTCTCTTCCCTGATTGTGAACTGCTACACACCGATGTTGGAAGTCAGTTTCGGTTCTGGGAGTGCTTGTACAGGCACGATTGACTTCCCTGAGTTCCTAACGCTAATGGCTCGCAAGATGAAGGATACAGATTCGGAGGAGGAGTTGATTGAGGCGTTTAAGGTCTTCGACAGAGACGGCAATGGCCTTATTTCCGCTGCTGAGCTGCGTCATGTCATGACCAATCTGGGAGAGAAATTAACCGACGAGGAGGTCGACGAGATGATTCGAGAGGCCGATATAGATGGAGATGGGCAGATAAATTACGAAGAGTTCGTGGGGATGATGCTAGCGAAGTAGAGCCGCGTCGCCAGTTGTATGGAGTGTATTACAGGACGCAGGGTGCCCGCCGCGGTGCCCCGAACCGCCGTAAGCCAAGGTTTTGTAAAGAGCTAATATTATATATATTATA